CTTGAAAATCTGGAGATTGAGAGCTCGGAGTCGCGATCGTGTCCATCGGATGGTGTCGACGCGGCGGCCGAAGTTGCCAATCGGCCGATGGTATGGTCGCCGTTCGACCGGAATCCATTGGGCGGCAACAGATCCTCTGACGTCGGGGAGGCTCGCCGACAGCCCGTATGGATGTTCATACTCGTCGTCCTGGTCCGATTTCTCATCCACAGCCACGTCATTCAGTTTGATGCCCTGGTGCTGACCAGTGTCGCTGTCCTTCTCAGAAGCGTCACCGGGCAGAGATTCCATGCAAATCATGAACCCCGGTATTTCCACCTCGTACAGATCGCCTCGGCTTGTGTCCTTGGTCGTGCTGTCGTTTGGGACCCCGACTAAATCTTGCTTTGAGCCCGTCGATTCGGCAATTGATGCCGCGGCAGCAGAGGACTCGGCGAGCTTGGAATCCTTGGCCAGTTTCTTTTGACGGGCCCGGTTGGCGATTCGAATCAGCGCAATCTCGGCCTTTTCCAGTCGCTCGGCAGTTTGTTGGCGCTCCTTGACCATTTTGACAAGGGCCTTGGAGGTTCGCGGGATAAAGACGCGCCTGACCGAGTCTCCATACAGTCTCCGGAGACGACGCTCGTCCAGGTACTCCTTTGGAACACATGTAAGCAGAATCGTGCGAGACGAGATACGGTCGGCATAGTACGGTGACGAAAGATATGCCTGTCGTAGATTGACGTAGTAAATGCACTCCCGTACAATCATGTAGAGCACGAACCCTGCAAGTAAGGTATATAGTTAGCATTGGCGCAAGTCGTGTCGAGTAAAGACGAGCACAAGCAGATGGGCCCGGACAGCAAAACACGGGACTCGGCAAGACTATAAATACGTATACAAGAGAGGCACCGTACCAAAGAAGGCCCATGCGACAAAGACGTGCGCAAGTAGCTTTTGAGGGTCCTGCACATTGCCTATAGTCAACAGTTCCAGCTGGGCAAGGCCACCGCCCCCTGTCGCATGGATGGGAAACAGCACGGGAAAAGTGACGAGGCAGCCAGCGAGACAGATATTGCGCAGGATCTTCAAGAAGCGGAGGAAGAAGAAGCCGTCGAGGGATCCGTGGTTCAAAACGATGGTGTCTGGCGTCTTGAAAAAGGGGACAATCCAATCCAGCCATCCTCCGGGAAGGGCTGGGCTGGGCTTGCTGCACATGGTGATTAGCAGTGATGCTCAAGGCACGTGTATAATGTCGCCTCCCCCGCGAATAGTCCGTCGGGGTGAGAGCATGGTGGCAGGGCATGGAGAGGGGGACTCACTCGGGGCTCCTTAGCTCTGGAATAGTCCTTGGTGCATACACGCGTTCGCAGAACCGACGCAAAAGGATGAAGAGGACGAGGCATACGGCCGTGAAGATGGATACAGGAATGAAAGTTGTGCCTAGCTTTGCGAGTGACGATGCTTTGCTGTTTGCCGTCTGGCTTAGAGTTCCGCCGCCCGAAGAGTCGTTTCGAGCAGATCCCTGCCTCGGATCTTGGGAACCGCCCTAGAAGAAGAACGCATCAGAGTCAGTCAGTCAGTCAGTCAGGTTTTTGGTGCGCAAGGGGACTGTGGCAAGCCATGCGACAATGGGATGGGTGTTGCCGACGGAAATGAGTTTGCGCCGTGCTATAGACGGGGATTGACACGTGGAACAGGCATCGCAGCCAAGATAGAAAACAGCCAAGGGTGCAGTGCACACACGACCACATACCGCGTCCAGATCCAAGCCTCGGGTCTTGATCAAGTGCCATAGTTGCGATATGGCAGCATCCGTCAAGTGAGGTGCGGAGTCAAGGGCCATTATGAGGCAAAACGCGCAGCATCGTTACCCAACCATGAACAGAGGCGGATGACGGCCGCGAAGGCGAGGAAGATGAGCAACGCCGAGATTTAGAGCGTTTGAAGTCGGTCGAAGCAAAAACCAGCGACCGACGGGCGGACGGGCGGACGGACGGACGGCCACCCGGAGTCGGTCGGACCGTGGGGCGGGAAACGGCTGAGAATCGACATGAAATCGATGGACGTGAGGCGTGAGGACGGATGGATGAAATGTCTGCCCGGCATCTGCTCCAAGGCAGGAGAGCCCCTGGCTTTTGTCCAACCAGATGCGCACATAGGCCTCCAACGGATGGTTCAAGGTTGCTGCGTCTTGCCCATCCGGTCGTGGTGTCGAGGCGCCGTTTTTCCCGCTTCTCGCGCTAGTTAGTACTCACTCCGTAGTAGATACTAAATGAGAGCGCCACCAGATGCTGCGGGCTCTCTGGCTAGCCTTTCTTTTTCTGTGAAGCAGGAAGAAAGAAAACCGGTAGCCTATGAGACAGGGGATACGGGTACGTAGGGTCGTAGTGGATGGATGGCAAGATGACTCTGCCTGGATCCTGAATCGACCTTGTGTGGAGAGCCATGACACTTTTGCCCACACTCATCATCCGGCCCCTGTCGAGGCGCCGCCAATCAAGTACGTACTAGCAGACCAAGCGTCTGCGGTCTTGGGTGCCGACTGAATCGCCCATGCCATGTTGTCGCCCTCCGCGGTGGTGATGCGTGGGCCGGGGGTTCACTTCCACCAGCTCGTCCTTGGACGGCTGCGAGACACGGCAAGCCGAGCCATGCCAAATGGTCTCCAAGTTGACCTTATATCGCAAGCCGCACGCAGCACGCTATGGCGACATGCCTCGGCGCTACTGCTCTCTTCTACTGTCTGCTCGTCAAAACGGCCGGCATAGCCCCGGAACGCCGGGCCGTTGTACTCGCGCTCGACGCCGGCAGGGTCATTCTTGCCATTGCTTCTGGCGTGGATACCTCTGACCCAGGACATGTGGGTGTCGGTAGCAACATTCTCCTTCAGCCTGACGATGTAGCTTCCTTCAATCACGGCCGAAGACGAGGCGCGGCTGTGGACAGGAGCTGCAGCAGCAGCAGACAGGCAAGCAAGGGCCGACGCGGCGGCAGCAATGATTTTGAAGAACATGATTCCAACGGCAGAAGCGGCTAATAAGTAATGTATATCTTGGGCTGAGTTAAAAGACTCTCCCTCTCTCGCATGACCGAAATCATTTACTTATACCCGATACGGCGGGTGATTATTCCAGCAAGCTCATCATCGTTTCGTACGCCAGGCATGATCCACGGGCTTCGTACTCAGCAGAGTTTATTCCGGTGCTTCTCTGCTCCAAGGAGTCAGATAATCCCAGTTGTACGCGCGGCCATGGGACGAGCTACGCCGTCGGATTGTGGCCACCGCTGGGTTCAAGGTTCACTGGTCTGATACAAATCGCCGCTGCTGAGTGTCAGCTTCCCGAGATTGCTTCACAGCTCGCATGCCCCTGGCGCCTTCTCACCTGGAGTTGAGTTTTATGGAAGATTCCGTGATTGAATATCAATTGCAACACCATAACCGCCCCTCCCCCCCGATCCACGATGCTTGGTCCCAGCCGAGGCCCCGTCAATGCCGACAACCGGTGTGGCAGTCTGATAGTCAGTTCATCTGACTACCGTCCGACTTGCTAAGAAGCCAAGTAGCATGAGGGACAACCCCCGCCCCGAGGAGGTGGACTTGGCAGTCGGCTGACCTTCAGCCGCAGCGATTCGGATGCGCCGGGTCAACCACTTTAGAGTTTTGTCCGATGAGCTGAGAGGGTGGGCTCAGCCCCCGGATTGTATAGACCACGACAAGACATGTCTCGATTTATACACTGAAAGCCGGGAAAATAGGTGATGCGGCAGTCATGCGCTAATAGTCTACGCCGTGGCTGCTGCTTGTCTTGCGCCTCGAGGACTGCTGACAACACGACACACCGTGTACATAAACCCGGTGCCAGGCGTGTACACGGATTCATACCCAACTATATTCACCTAGCCCAGCTTGGAAGTCTGCCCTGAGGACTTCTCCATGAAGCAAGTCTTGCTTGCCTGCAAAAGACAAGTCTCCACAAAAACGATGCTCCATCGTTTATACGTCGTGACTAGGTAGTTGGTTGGCAAGTTGACCCGAGGATGACGAAACAAACGGCCAGGCACATCCACCGGCGTCAACCGAAACCTGACTCTCATCAAGGAGATGGCTGCTGTCGCCAACTACTTTGCAAGGCGCCAGTGGCAACGAGCTGCGAGAGTCTCCGCTCGGCCAAATCGGTCGGTGAATGAACTCTGTTCGCGCCTGAAAAAAGCTAAACAGGAGCCTGGGATAACAGACAGGTCAGGAAGTCCGAGACGGGACTCAACGCCTCGCATTTAGCCAGAGATACTATTCACCACAGATAGCGTCAAGGGAACAACGTATGCTTGACATGTGGTTGGAGCTGGGGCAGGCCCGTTTTTCGTGTGTGCGTATTCGTAGATGCTCTTGTATACTATATCTTTGGGGGAATTGCTACACGGGCATGACACTTTGGCTACACGGGCATGACTCTTACACGGGCATGACTTTTACCACTTCTGATTGGTCGCATACTTTCTTGGCCCCACAGATACTTCCTCGGAAAGGCGGTGTAGCCAACTTCACTAACAAGCTCCTACATCACCATGAATTGCAGTGTCACTTATCGTTGTGGGCGCGATTGGTCTTCTGCTATCTTGCAAGCCTGCATTTCGGATTAAACTACCGTCCTTGTACTGTTAGCCAGTAACTGTCAAATACTGGCAAAAGACGTGATGTGGTCTACTTAATTTATTGCCTCACAACGATACAATCTGGATCTTCGTCATCACTCTTAGCCAGTTCCCATTGACTCCTTGTCCTGCGAATGTTTCGTTGCGTCCTCCGTCCACTGTACCGCACGCCTGTCGTATTCCCAGCATTTAGGACTTTAGAAGGTCTACCTGGCCCTTGCTGGGCTGAGATGCCAATTTGGCCACCAGTTTGTGTGATGGTTTCTCGAGTAGCTTTATGCACTCTCCTAGCAAGAGTTGGCTTATTGAGACTTCCTGGCGGTCGACCTCGTCGCCCACTTGGTTGATTATCAGATCGGCTACTTGATGTAATAGCTAGGCTTTCTGGGATAACCTGCGCTGTATTCTTTGGCCTTCCACGTAGTGCAGTGGCAACTTTCGGGTCAAGAATTCGTCGGTATGGATCTTGAGATGCCGATTCCCGTAGTCGCCAGCGTGGGTGGACCTCCCATTTAGTGAAACGTGTGTCAGAATCTAGCTTTGCGTAGACTTTATGATAGCATGGGATTCCCAGCTCAATAGAGACCGTACAGTCGTCGTCGCAAAGTCCAATAGAGTCGGGGAAGGGATTCTTCCCCGTCGGCAGAAATTTGCGAGCAATACAGTATTGCTTGTTGATTAACCCAAGTCCTTTCGATGACATGGTTGTTCGTAGTTCACCAAGATAGTTTCCCATCGAACCTAGGTATTGTGGAGCAGTCAGGACATCATCCTGTCCACAGGCATCCTTAAAGGCACGTTCTTGGTCATGTATCATATCCTGCATTGCCTCGACGAGTCGGTAGAGGTGGCTCATGCCATTTAATAGATAGCTTTTGATATTATTGTTGCTTGCTTCTGTGCCGGACGTAACTCGGATTCCGAAGTTACGATAACGACGGATAAAGCAACGTGCCCATTGAGCACTAACAGGCATATAAGTCGAGTAGAGGTATTGTAAGATCGCTCGTTGGTCGTCGAACTCTTTACAAAGATCTCTCCATGCCTGCTCAAACGCTTCCTCAGTCTCGGCATAGAGAACCTTTTTCCACATTAAAACAACGCCTTGGTAAGTATGAGGAATCTTATCACTACTCGACCGATCTTCGATCAGATGCTTATCTGTAGTGCTCAACCCGCCATCCGCCTGTGAGGGAATGTCTTCACTGTCACTAGCGCTAGGGCTAGTAGTACTGTCCTCACGTTGGCCCGTCCACCTAGTCTTCGATTTAAGCAAAACGTTTGAAAGGATATGATGAATACAAAGCTGTTGCTGTGCATTTGGAAACTGATCATTAACGGCAGCTTTCATAGCCTTGTCGAAGTCTGTGATGATGACATCTGGTTCCCTGAGTGAGTGTTTTGTAATGAGCTTGCGAACACTCTCTGCAAGGAATTGGAACCCCTCCCTCCTCTCGTTATCTATTAAGCCAAATGCAGCATTGAACACAGTTCCAAGACAGGTTTGGCCAGTAGCCTGGAATAAAGGAAGCTTGAAGCGATTAGTGTTATATGTGTTATCAAAGCTAATAACCTCGGGGAAGCGCTTCCACATCTGTAGACAGTACGGAAAGGTCCAGACAAGACCAAGCAGTCTATCTGGATCATCATCGGCCCATTTCGCGATGTATGGGATCTTCTTCTCATCAAAGAGTTTGATCAATGCCGCAGTAGGTGTATAGCCATTTAGCTTCTCTCGGTTAATGAACGAACGGGCATTATAGATATCCTTCCGCAGGAGTGTTGTATCGGGGAATTGCTCCTCAACCATAGCAGCTACATCACTGGCTCGAATACCCGCGCGACGGCTTGCTGACTCGATGGTTGCTTTAACTGGTGTAGTAAGGCGGCGGTGGGAAACATGCGCAGATGGCGTAATACTCCGTTCATGGTTATGCTGGTGATGTTTCGGGTCTCTATGTTGTCGAAGAAGCCACTTGCCTTCCTCTAGGGCTTCAGCAATTATCATCCATTTGCAATCACACTTCCGAGACCTTCGGGTTCGAAGACCAGAACCCCCCGAGGCCCGAGATTGTCCAAACCGGTCGCATTGAATGGAGTACCTAATCAACCGTCCCTTATAGGAATATTTATTCCGCCGAATAATACCAAATCCGTTCTCCTTTGCAAATGCGTTGGTTGTTTTAAAAAGAACTTCGGCCGAGGGCGCTGGGTCGCCAGGGATTATTGGGTTCGGAATTGGCTCCGGGGCGGGAGATAGAGACTGTCGCATAGGCGAGGAACTAATATTTTCGGGCGTCGGTGATATTCGAGGAGGTTGTGTGGGTGACCTACGAGGTGGAGAGTACGGTGGAGGAGAGTCATATGCTTCGAAACTTAATGGTGACCATCCCCATCTCTCTCGCCAAGCTTGTACACGTTCGTATGATCGAGCAAGGTCTACAGTTAGCCTTCGACCTTCGCCGGTAACCTCTCGTACTATGCGCATTGCGGACTCGAACTCGGCTCTTGTCCTTGTTGGGAGATGCTGGGCGGATGGGGGTGATTCGGGAGGTTCAGAGGCGAATGGATCAAATTCTGGGCCTGGTATAAGCGCTCTGACTCGCTGGCTCCATCTTTTTCCACGGAAGAAGTCATTTTGAAGATATATCTCATAGTCAGATCGAAGGCCCCATGCAGGCTCATGGCGGCCCTGTGAACCATGGGGGTGTGGGAGACTTGAAAGTGTTTGCGGGAAAGAGGCGAACAGGTTATCGAGTGCATTTTCGTCCCCGAGGCCGTAGAACTGACCGATACTCGTAGCAGAGCTACTCGCGGATTGTGGTCGGTCTTCAACTGTGGAAGGACTAGATCTGCGTCGCCGACTGGATTTGTGTCGCTTTCCTCTTTGTGATTGATCACTGGGACTAGGGCTCCGCGACCTGCGAGGAGGTGTGCGAGGCAAAGACATTGACGTCTTGAGAAGAGAACAAGATTGTAGTGAAAGAATTGGTCGCTATCTCTACAGCATAGGGTGCCGTATTATGGTTTATTAAAAGCTACGAAAATGAAGAAAGCAAGCTCGAGGGGGTCGCCCCGACTGCGCGACCACTGGGTTGCTGCGTAGTAGCTTAGCCGAAATGAAGTAATTTACACAGAAGCAAGGTTAAAATGGCCCAGGTACTTGCGGCTGAGGTGGCAGAATCCAGCGTCGTTAACAGAGACAATGCGACCAATCAGAAGTGGTAAAAGTCATGCCCGTGTAAGAGTCATGCCCGTGTAGCCAAAGTGTCATGCCCGTGTAGCAATTCCCAAAAAAAAAGCCTCCTCCATGAACCAAAATAACAGGTCGTCTTTGCTTTTTGCGGGCCAGGCTACCTACCTAAATACACGTTGGAAGCATTGACCAGCGATCCGAGAATGATGCCAACAATCACGGCGCGACCGGTCAAGGGATTCGGCTCGTGATCATTCCCCCTGAGGGGAGGGAAGCTGGAGAAGAGATCGGTGATTTCGTCGTCCTCGGCTTTCGAGTCGTGCTTCAGGACAGAAACCGCGGCTGCCGAAGCTCTCTTTTCGACATGGCCATCCGGCAGAGCATCATGGGCTTTTTGGCCCGTCGTAATGCCAATGGAAGCCATGACGGCCGCGAGCGCAAGTCAACAGGCCAAGTCTATGGTTGACTAGACAAATATCGAGGGAGGAAGAGCCGGCCACACCCTGCCAGAAGCTGTTGCGTCCGATGCGGCAGAAGTGACAAATACTCGCGGGCCCAATGACTAGACACCAGCCGAAGCGCAAGGAAAGAGCCTTGAAAACTCGGAGTCCCGGCCAGGACATGGAGGTTCTTTAATAAAACGACTTGTGACTGGACGCCGTTCAAACCCAACGAGCCTGTGGACTGGCTGTGTGGTGGTCCGCCGACTCCAATGCCACACCCCCGGAAAGCACATGCAAAAGATCCCAGATAGATAGTGGGATGTCGCACTTATCACAGCCATAACTGTGCATATCCCATTGTCTTGCACGCCCTTGTTAGCATGGATGAGCAGCGAGGCTCTGCAACAAGAGGTACGGTACGGTGCAGTACGGCGTCAGCCTTGGTCCATTTACAAGCTCGCGTGACCCCAAGCACTCGAGGAGCGTATGTGGATAGAGAAATGCCCTAGCCGCAAGCCAAGACACAGGTGGCTCGAGTTAACGGATCATGCCCAGACACCGGCGTCGCAACCCAAGTATAAAGTCTGGGGAATAATTACTCGAGCTGGGCCATTGCCACCCAGATGCACTACTCGTTGGAGAATATCCAACGCGACTCACTGGACCTTTACAAGTTCGTTAAGCCGTGGAAAACGGACGCAGAGCGCATAAGAATCAACTTCATGTGTGTTTATGCTGATGACATACTAAACACGATCGAAGATTGACCATGAAACCGTGGCGACGAAGACGTGCTTACATTGACCTGCCCGAAAAGCTCCAACGCCGCAGGTTCTTCCCGCGCCCGGAGAGAACCGAAATGCAGGCTCATAAATACATTGAATTGGTTAGCCATCATGGTACTCGGGGGGAAAGCCTTAAGGGCCCATTTACAGTACGTCGACTAGGCAGAGTTGGAAAAGACCGATGTCTTGCATCGACACAGCGCTTTAGCCCGCGAACGGGACGTCTATCACGACGGAATATATCTTGAACCTAATGGAAAATGTATACTAGACGGGGCAAACTGTCGCATATTGGACGTGATGGTACTGCATAGAATTAAGGCGGGCAACTATCTATTTTGTGGCGGCTGGAGTGCACATATAGGGGGGAAGGGGGAGGAAGGGGGAGGAAGGGGGAGGAAAAGTCATTGTGCATATTACTACCTGCAATCGAGGGAAATTGGTCAACAGCGCTTGTGAGGCTTGAATTGCAGTCAATTGTAATTTGTTGTGAGCCTGTAGGAGCATTCGTGATGGCCTCAACCTGCAGTGACGTTGAAGTTGGAAAAAAGTCACACTTGTATCTTTACTGCAAAAAGTCATGCAATAGCACTTTTCCTGATTTAGATTAGCTCTACCCTTCGTGCATACTGTACTTCCTTTCCGTATGTGCATGGGTTAGTGGCCCATTTGAATTGACTCAATAATAGAATCTCCTGCTTCTATTGTTATTTTCGGCCTAGTTCGGCCAACTTTCAACATCAATGATATCCCCAGGTAATGCCGGTAACAGGCTCCCTCACAATGCAAGCTTAGCCATAAGTGACCTAACATGAGCGCTTGCAGGGGATATGAACAAGGACCCCTATGTAAACAGTAACGCCCTTATATTTCTAGTATAATACAAGTCAAATAATAACAGGCTGCTGCGTGTAAGCACTGCAATTAGTAGTCATGCAACGCGCCAATAGTGAGTTTTGGCGAGACCTTTTAAAAAAGGGGCGACGCACGATTGACTATCGACTTACGGAGTAACGGGGAAGACACAAACTGAAGTTATCTCTGCCGTTTCCTCTAATACTGAAATATACCCGTTCTCACCGGTAACGGGGGCCGGCACCTACCCATCACTACAGACCCATCTCAAGTAAGAACCCCAACTTTTACGCCCGCATGTATATTGAAGTAAAACACTGCCGTGACATGGGTAGCAAGTTGGAGGTTTAAATTCTCGATTTACACGTGTCTATGACTGCGAAGCTAACCTTTTGCTGCTAGCGTTACGTTGCACACTTGAACAACTTTACAAGTTGTCTTAAAAAACGACTAGCCGGGTTCACCGTTACAGGTAGGTCTAGAGCGAGTAGAAGATTATTATTAAAAGGGGTCTGTAGGAGTAGGGAGGTAAATCCTTTCGACACTAAGCTCCCATGACGTTTGTCAGGCCACTCGTATCTAGACCCACAGGGGTTGGTTAGGATTGCACTCGGCAACCTGCAAGCTTCCGACATTTTCTATTTCGGCGGCTCCGACGACCGTCACGGCGTCGCTAGCATTACTACCAACGAATGCCAGTATAGCTGCTCCAGACTTGATGTAATCATGACTTCATTGCATCGCACGTGATAGAGCCGCAATAGACGTATTGAAATGCCAAGCGACGTATAAAAGACGCGCTATGATCAAAACGGCTTGCGTCACAAGGGCCTACATGCCTCATCAACAGCGTCTATTTGCTTAGTAAATCTAGAGCGGCGTACTGGCAGGTTCGTCCGACAATTCGGTGATGGTACAGACTTTTGCGAAGGGGTCCTTTGTCTTCAACAGTAGCTATTTTAGACGCTAGCTTGCAGACAATTCCTCGGGGATAGACTTGTTGTCTAAGCAGTGTCTAATAAATGCGAGGTTCCACTGGTATTCATCGGCTTTGCTGTGAATATTTATTTCCACAACTTACCTACTCAACTCCCAACAAAAATAATAATCTACGCTACTTGTACACATTGCCTTTTTTTTCGTGAGGTAAACCCCCATGCGAGATGGTTAACGACGGCCTTCTAGGGCTCACGGTCCTGATTCTCGCTCGTTGCTGAGTCGTCATGTAACCCTAACCCTGACAGCTTAGTAAGCAGTCTAGTCCATCTAACAGGTCCAAGGAGAATTTTGTCCCATGACAACGATTCACCGATTGCGTAGAAATGACGGAGGTCGCGGGGAATTCAAGGTCCGGCTCACCAACATGGCAGCATCAATATGACGCAGCGAGATCAGCGAAAAAAAAAGCTGCGGCGTCATCGTTTCGCCCTCGTGTATCGCCACCCGAGTAGAGTAACGTCTAATGCTCAAGCTTTTTGGTTCAAAACGTCATGCATCACGTGTAGCGCAATCCCTGTTGGTTTTGGGTTGCGTTGACGTTTTTAAAAACCAAGTCGCGCCGGGTTTCCTACGTGGTCGTTTCCTAGATGCTCTATCTGCAAATAAAGCATCGTTCACAGGACATATCCAAACACCATCATGGAATCACTCAAGCAAGGCGCCAACTACGTCTCTGAGCAGGCCAAGAAGGCCACTACTGGGACCTCAAAGGAGGCGAACAAGAACATTGCCAAGGACTCCGATGCACCTGTTGGCGACCGGTATGTGTTGGCAGCGTTACCATCTTCCGCCCGGCCCCCCTTTAATAATCAAATAATAATGAACAACCACTACCCAGAGTCTCGGCTGCAAAGGACACCGTTGCCGACAAGTCTAAGGAGCAACAGCACGACGTCAAGGCCGAGGCTCACAAGCAGCAGATGTAGGCCGAGAAGTCAAAGCAGACCGCTGATGGCCGCATGCCGGGCGAGCGCGGGGGGTGGGGGGGGGGGCCTATTATATGGTCGTAGGGGGGGGGGGGGGGGGGGGCCTATTATATGGTCGTAGTGCAAATGTAAACTATCTGATGTTGAAGGAGTCGCAGAGTAAAAATGAGGGAATTTTTTATTTATGTGTGCATAACCTCTACTTGTCGTCCCAGCCTGCATTCTCGACAACGATTGTGATTGCAAGCTCAGAAAACTGCACACCGAGCTTGAGACACGTATTAAGTGAAAAGACGGCCGTTTTGTTGTTAAAAACTATAGTGTCTTTAGCAGTGCCGACGTATGGATCGAACATTCCGGGGAATGTACCGGCAAAACGGTTACTCTTGGTATAACTAGCTAAGCTAGTATTAATTATTTTATATTAATATAATATATATATCTTAATAACTTTCTCTTTCTTAAAGAAGTTAAAATTATTAAAATTCTCTTTTATAGTATATTTATCTATATAGTAAGCAGTATAATATAGAGAGAGTAGTAACGAGAGAGGCAGTAGATGTCAGCGGCAGATACTGCCTACTATAAAAAACACCTACAAAAACAAGGGAAACAGCTATAACACACAAATTGCCTACAAGGAACGTTTGCATGCATTTTGTATGTAAGAATTTAATATGCTTTACGCCTATATTTCTTTATATATATAAATAAGGTTAAAAGAGGAATGCTAGCTGGAATTTAATAAAAAGACTAATAAAGCTATAAAGGCTAATTTACTCTATAGCAGAAAAGCAGCTACAAGAGTTATTTTTAGCCTTTAAGGTTATTTTAAGCTACTATCTATGCTTAATTCGGCAGCTCTACTATAGAATTTACCTATAAATAACTCTTCTTCCCCCTAACTAGATAGAGAGGAACTTAAGCTTCTATAACTACACTCTTTAATATATACTATTATATATAATTTTATACTATATCTAAAGTTACTTCTACTATACCTTAAGAATCCCTATTATTTTATGCTTAGTAATTAACTAGATTACATAAGCTCTATCTATTATATCTCGATTATATTATAAAGAGTCCCTTAATTAGCCGACAGTAGAGAGAGTAGTAAAAGTACTTTAGAAAAGTTTAAGCTTAAATTAAGCTAATATAATAATTAAAAAAGTAGTAGTATTATAATAATAGTAGTAAAATAGTAATAAAGATAAAATTTTTAAAAATCAGAAAAAATAAAGTTTTATAGAAAAAGTATTAATAATACTTATTAAAAAAAATAATAATAAGTAGTATTAAGTTACTAAAATATTTATAAAATAGAAGTATATTAAGTATATACTATATATAAAAAATATAAAGTAGAAATATATAATTACTAGAGAAATTAATACTATATATATATCTCTACTATATAGTAGTAATATAACTATACTTAGTAGAAGAAAAAAATATAATAAACTTAAGCTATAAGCTTAAGTAAGTATAAAGTACTATATTAATACTTTATTAAATACTTTTTAAATATATATTAAACTTATATATATATAATGCCTCTGTAGCGCAGTAGTTAAGCGCTATAGAGCTCTGTCCCTCCAGCAGAGAGCTAGTTCGAACCCGGCCGGAGGCACTTAAATTTTCGGCCTAGTCACCCGGAAATTAGTTAACCCGTGAACTTTATCACGTGATTAAGGGGTAGAATTAAGCTAAGCCTACCTTAAAAATTAGCTAGTAGGCCTAGAGCTCTAGGGTAGGAAATTAAGCTAGCACGTAATATAGCTGCTATATATTACACTATAGAGAGAAGGTTAAGGATAGATAGAGGGAAATATGCAGTCTAGCATTAGTTACAAGTGTAGGAAAACGCCTTATATTACAACATAATATAAAGCCTAGACGCAATATTAAGCAGCAGGCAGGGTTTTTCTTCTTATAGAGAGTTTTCTAGGCTTAATATAAGAGCAGATGTACTAGTTATATAGCTACAAGCTATCTAGAGTATTAAATATATATATATATAATAAGTAGAAAAGAGAGAATAAAGAGCTTTCTCTTTTCTTCTTCTCTCTTCTTACGTTTATAGTTAATACTAGTAATACTTATATATAGTTACTTGTAAGGCTAGTTCTTAATAGTAAAGTAAAATAATACTAAAAGAAAACTAGTAAAATTTAAGCTACTTTTAGCTTAAATATAACTATATATTAATAAGTACTTAATATAATTATTAAAGAGTTTCTAGCTAAGTATATAAAGGCTAAAGGTTTAGCTAATAAAATAATAAAAATAAATAAAATAAAAGTTATATAAGCTACTTATAATAAACTTAAGCTGTAGGCTTAAGTAGGTATAAAGCACTATATTAGTGCTTTATTAAGTATGCTTTAAATATATATTAAACTTATATATATATAATAAAAGAAAAAAAGAGAATAAAGAGCTTTTTTTTTTCTTCTTTTCTCTCTTTAGAGTTAATACTAATAATACTTATATATAGTTACTTATAAAGCTAGTTCTTAATATACTATAAACTTTATTTTATTATAATAAATAAATACTTTTTAAACTTTATAAAAAGTAACTTACTATTAGCTAGTAATATAATACTACTAAGTACTTAGGCTAAAGTAGCTACTCTTTAGAAAACTATTAATAACTAAAAATATAACTAATTTATAAATTAATATAGTAGTATATTATATTCTCTAAATTAGTACTTATTATACTAAATAATTTATTATACTTTTTTTATCTAGATATATAATTAATACTACTATATAAGCTAAAATAAAAGCTTATTAAAATAAAGCTTCTTTTTAAAAGAAATAAGTTTATATTTACTATATAGTAAAGCTTTATATTATATAAATTAAAAGCTAATAAAGTATTTACTAATAGTACTTATAACTAGTAGAATTTAGTTTTTTAAAACTTCTTTATAAAGATTTAAAAATAAGTTACTTTTTACTATAAAGTTAAAGTATTTATAAACTATAACTTAACTATATTTCCTAACTACTTAACTACTATATATTTTAACTTTTATTAATAAAAAATAGCTTTTATTAAATTAAACTAAATATAGTAATATTTAAATAAAATATTTATAAACTTCTTTATTTAGTTTAAAAATAAAATAGTAATAATAAAAAGTATAAATTAAATTAATATAGTTAAGTTAATAAAGTTTTATTAAGCTTTAAGTAAAAAAATATATAAAGTAATTTTTAGCTAAAATATTTTTTATATTATATATTAATTAGTAATTATAAAGCTATAATACTTTACTATAAACTTTAAGTTATATTACTTAAAGAAGAAACTTTATAATTAATATAGTAGAAACTATAGAAACTAAACTCTCTTAGTAAGTAGTTAGCTTTAAAATAAAGATATACTAATAATAAGTATTAATAAAGTTAATATAAACTAGAAGTAAAAAAGTAGAGAAGCTTATACTTAATAAAGTATACTTTAGAATTTTATAAAAAGCTAAAGGTAAAAAGCTTAGAAGTAAAGTAGTTATTAATAATATAAGTTATATTTATTTATATTTTATTTAGTAAGATTTTAAGTAGATATAACCAGCTAGAAAATTCTAGTTACTATTTATATAATACTAAAGCTTACTAAAAATATAATACTAAGGCTTTAATAAATAAAGTACTATAAAATAAATATATATATAGCTATATAGAAGCTAGTAATTAATATAGTAGAAAGACTAGTAGTAAAGAAAATAAACTAATATTAACTTACTTCTTTATTAATTATTATACTAAAATTAAAATACTAAAGTTTTATTTAATAAGCTTATAAAATAATATAAAACTACTAGTTTATAGTAATAAATTTATACAAATTAATATTAATATTATAAGTTTAAGCTATATTTAATATTAAAATAAAAACTAAGCTATTACTACTACTAAATAAAGTTTAAAATTTTAAGAACTTTTTTAATAAAAAAGTAGTTATTATACTACTTTTTTATAGAGGCTTCTTTAATTATTATATTTAGTTAAAAAAAAAAGTAAATAATATACTTTTAAAGCTTTTTTAAGCTTCTTTATATAATATACTTTATAAGTACTTACTAGAAATTTATAAGTAAATTATAAACTTTATAAATAAAGAATAAATATAAGTAAGTACTTTACTAGCTATAGCTTTAGTACTACTAGTAAA